TTTTTTGATAATGGAGTACCCTTATGGTGGTTTGAGAATGGCATTCATTAGCCCAATATCTCCCTCTACGGCATGGTGGGCAAATACCCGGTATTCTACTCCTTTGATACCTAATTTTGTTAAACCCTCCTCCTATGGGGCAATTCCTTTTAAAATGTCCTCTTTGTTCACAGTTGTAGCATGTTTTTGGCCTGGCATCTAAAGCCTATTGTACAGCAGCTGCCAAGACTTGCCCTTGTTCATTAATGTCTCTACATAATTTAATATATGTGCATAAATCTTCATGTTTCCATGATCTAATGACTTTTCTGCACCAATGATTTGCTTGCTTATAAGCCAGTTGTTTTATTAATGGCATTGCTTGTTCTGTAATCCCCAAAATATGGTAGCTCTTTGAATAAGCCTATCTACAAATTCAGTGTAAGGTTCATTAGCTCCTTTTATTACCTTAAATAATTGACCTTGTAAACCTCCATGTCCTTGTAAAGTCTTCCATGCTCTAACTGCATCTACAGCAATTTGTAAGTATATGGCAGGATCATATGCAATTTGTTGCTGCTGACCCTCATAAGATCCCTTTCCTAACAACATATTTAGATTTCTCTGAGGATAACCAGCTGCTGCATTTAACCTAGCTGTATACTTGCAAAATTCCTCATTGGCAACCTTCCATAACAGGTATTGTCCTCCATTTAGCACAGCTTTACACACACTAGTCCAATCTGCTGGCGTCATGTTCAAGTTGGTAATGGATTCAACCAAGCTTACAGTGAAGGTGGCTTGAGGACCATATGTTGTTACAGCCTCTTTTAGCTGCTTCACTGTTTTGAAATCTAAAGCATGGGGAATTCACTTCCCTCCTGCCTGCTCAAATACAGGGCATGTTAATATTTGAGGTCCTGTCTCAGGATCCCATCTATCAACTACGGGGCTGGGGGCCTCACAGCATATGGAGGTGGCGCTATTGGTTGGACACTTATGCCCTCTGGTGATAGAAAGGTGTTAGTAGCAGTCTCCTGTTGTAACTTTTCCCCTGATGGCTTTTTCTGCTCTAAACTTTCTTCCTCTGCTGACTAGCTTGAGAGACCTTCTCTTTTACTTGAATTTTTTCCTCTGTCTGACTAGCTCGAGAGACCTTCTCTTTTACTTAAATCAATATGTCTTATCCTTCCTCTACCATTGTCTGAACTGAAGGCTTTGGACTAAGAAAAAAGATACCAATGTCCACAATGGCAATGTACCAACTGGCAGAGTTCCTGGGCTTTTCTTTTGTATTCTTATTAAATCTTTACCATGATGGTTCCATTGTGATATATTTAACAACTCCTCCTTAAAAAGCCATGGGCTACATTTTTGTATTGTATCAACGTATGTCCTGACTGTTCTTCATTTTACTGAGATGCGTCCTTCTTCTAATAATTTACTTAACACTCTTTCAGTTTGTTTTTTTACTAATTTCTGATTCCATATTTCTACTATAACTAAAACACAACCCAACAAGATAACAACAAACAAAACTTAAACAGAATGAAACAAAAATGGAACAAAAAATCATTATATCAGCCTTTCTATCCTCCTGAAATGTCCATCCATCCTTTCTCCCTATCTGTTCCTCAGATGCAAATATTTTTTCCTCAAATGTGAATGGTTTTTCTTCCATCTCACCCATCTCCAGGGACAGGCAACTTAAATCAAAAGCGAAACAAACTGAAAGAAGAATCTTAAAATGGCTACACATCCTCTCACCCTGCCCTCGGGGCGAGCAGTTTACCTTATCACTTACCCTCAGTCGTTCCCCTGTGTGGGCCACCAAATGCTGCAGTCTGGCTGGGCACAATTCACAAGCCACTTGTCAAGCAGAAACGAACTTATTTTTTAGAACACACACACCGCACCACACAAGCTCTTCAGGAATTCCCTCAGAGCCCAACTGCCACCACCGGCTTCCCGCGAGCCTCTCAACCCCCACTCCTCCCACTCTTGAGGCCGATTGGCTTGGCTGTGTGGGGGGAGACAAAAGAGTCCCCCAATGAGCAGCTCCATGGTGGAAACAGCCCAATGAGCATCACCACAGAGGAGCCAATCAGCTGGCAGCTGGAAGTTTGCTGAGGCCACTGTGAGCCAATCAGCTGGAAGTTTGCTGGGGCCCCTTCGGCTGTGGCTCTCAACACTTCATGTTAGTTTATAACACTGAGCATTGCATGCCTGACTTTTACATAAAAATATCTAAAAACATGTATCTGTAACTTAAGAGCCAGTTGCAAGGAAAACATTACTATCCAATACTATATAATGTCAAGGAGGACCAAATGTACTATATAAGTATACATTTTAATGAGTTTTGAAAAATGAAATGTATTCTATTTTGGGGAAAAAAAGCAGAAACCAACATCAAAAATCAAATAGAACAGGTGTCATGGAGTGAATATTTGTTAATCCTTGTCTTCCATGATGCCCAATACTAAATAAACATGTAAGACCAATTACACGTGTTAAAGGAAAACATTATTTGAATATACTTACATTTATATTTCTTCCATGAGACGTAGTTCAGACATAAACAAAAGTGGATGAGTGAAAATACATTCCATATACTTTAACAAATAATTCAATATTGGGAAGAAAATACAAAAGAGCATATTTTATTGAAAACAATTGCCATTGCTGAAATCACTATTTTTTTAAATTCAAAAATTATGTTTGTTACAGACAATTTTCCAGAGTTATTGATTTATGTATAATAAACATCATTTAAGGGATATGTCTGTACAGGTGCTCATGTCCATGCAAACACACACACACACACACACACACACACACACACACACACCACACAAACACACATATTTAAAGTATAAAAGAGTATTTTGGTTATTGGGATTTTAATGGATTTTTGATTTTTTATTTTCTTTTGTAACTAAGTCTCTTTTTGCAAGCCAGAGAACAGAATCAACCTCAGGATCTAGTCCTCTAGGCATCTAGGCCAAGTCGTGAGATCTTTAGGAGAATGGTATAATGTAGCAGTGGTCTACCTCATGTTTTAAATATAGCTCTTGTTGCTCATCCACTGAGACTTATTTTTAAACGTATAAGATTTCTTTTCATCTTATCCCTCTTCCAGTCCCAACCTGGGGGTAAGGAACAGGAATACCCATTTCCATCTAACTTATCCATCTTTGAGCACATGCCCACCACAAGAATCAAGTAATTCAGACTTTAGGGATCAGGCAGAAGATCTAAGAAATTACTATCCTCCAAAAGAACAATTCACCCCCCCCCCCCCCCCCCACACACACACACACAGGGAATATCTGGAATTAATCACTTATTTAAAAACCTTCTGTTGGTCTTGGGTTGTAGCTCAGTGTTAGAGTGCTTGCCTTGCATGCATGAGGCACCAGGTTCAATCCTCAGCACTGCATAAAAATAAATCAATAAAATAAAAGTGTTCTGTCCATCTAACTAAAAAAAAGTCTAAAAAATCCCCCAACACCCTGTTTCCATGGACGGGCAGCATCAGAGCATCTTGGACAGGAGTCCCTGTGCTTCTCCTTTGCTAATAAGCAATAAAACTTGTTTTTCCTTTTTCTAAAAACCATGACCTTGTTATTGAATTGGCCTTGGGGACAAAGACCAATCTTTCAGTAACAATACTACCAGGTGCTAGCAGCAGGAGTTATAAATTCTGAAAGGTAACCACTTGTCCTCACTTCACATTAGGGAACAACAAATACTTCAGTCCTTAAGGGGATGATCCAAGACCTACTTGATCTACAAATGATAAAATCACCCATACAATATGCAAGCTGCTTAGTCAGTTTGTTTTCATCACTGTGACCAAGATACCTAACAAAAACAATTAAGAAGAGAAAAAGTTAATTTTGACACACAATGTCAGAGGTCTCAGTCCACAGAGGACCAACTCCATTGCTATGGGTCCAAGATGAGAAAGAACATCGTGGAGGATTGGCATGAAGAAGGAAAGACGGTCCCCTCGTTGCAGAAAGAAATCAGAAGTCAGGAAATGAGACAATTAAAACCACTATTCTTCCATGATACATGTTGACATGAAAAACTCTGTTGTGCTTTAGTCAGGAAAGGAGAGGAGAACAGAGTATGATGAATAAGCTAACTCGTAATTTCAGTGAACATTTTTGGGATGGAACCAGGATATCTTGCCAACATTTTGTCACACATCTGCAAACTGCAGGATTCCAAAGCCCTTAGCAATACTTTCTGCTCCACATTCTACAGCTGGGTGGAATGCCACTGTGCCTCTTCTCAAGGCTGAGGTGGGTGCTGGTCATTGATGTCTGGAATCTAAGCATAGGAGGAATCCAGTTTGCATGCACAGTAGATGTGCAGATGGTGAAGTCCTGGCAGGAACACCAGAGTGCCAAGGCTCAGCAAAAAGATAGACAGGAATTCCCTAGATACTGATGCATACTGATGCATTGCCTATGGCAATGGAAGGCACCAATGAAGGACAGCACATAGGAGGAATAGTGCCTTGTAAGACTCAGGAGGGCTTCTGTTAAACTGAAGGTCAACAACCTCATCCTCTGTGCTGGAGACTTGAGCTTTCTACTTCGCTCCTGGTTATTGCAGAAACCAGGTTGGAAGGAGAAGCATGAAGTTCCAATTAATCACATCAACAAAAAATCCCAGGGTGTAAGGGAAAGAAAGAGGAACACTTACTTAGAAAAAGAGAAAGCATTAATGGCTGGTGAGCACACACTTCACATAGAGGACTCAGGATTGCTCCAAACAGGGGTGCAGAATTTGTGCCAGAAAAGTGCCTTATTCCAGTTCCCACATACACCAGAAAAATGCAAGGCTCCAGGTATACAGGAATCTGAGAGCTTACTGCCAAGATGACCCAGGATATAGATATAAAACACCATTCTCATGTGATGTAACTATATAGAACTATGCTTCAGATTTGGTGAATTAGAATAAATAAATAAGAATTGTGCAAAAACTCTCAAATTAATTGTTTGTCAAAGTAACAGGGATTTTTTTTTATTAAGAAACCAAGCCAAGGAGAACCTGAATGCACTATAGCCTTGGCTCATGAGCAGGAAGGGGCTCACAGCTGGGAAACACCCAGTCAATATTGCAGCCGTGTTCACCAAGAACCAGTTGGGATTATAAATAACAGTCAAACAAGTTTGAAAGATACAGGAAAGTGTGTAAAAAAAGACAAAGGTTGTCACCAGGAGGAGGATGGTTTGTGTATCTCTGGACTCAGGGAAGGACCTGGGGGAGCTGGTCTTGTGAATGTGCTGCATTCTCTGCTTGTGCCTGTGCAGGATGAGCACCATGGAGCTGCTTGCCCATAGCATGAGCCCCACACACAGGGCATCAGGTAAGGTTACCAATGCTGCATACAGTGAGTCTGTGGTTATATTATGACTAACACCAGAACAGTATCCATAATCTTTTAGATTGATGATGGTTTTGTTTCTCTTGTTTCCATTTGTATACATAAGAATGATGACATTTATAAGCATGTACAGGATACAGCTCAGGAACATGGAGAAACCAATGTACCTGGGAGCTTTCACTTTAAGCCCTGCCAACCTAGAGTCCCAGGAGCTGATGGTGATGGCCCAGGAGACACTCAGAAGGCACATGGTTACAATGGACACACCCCTGCCCACCCTGTGAAGATAGAATAGTAGTTTGCATCCAAAATCACCAAGGGAAAATCCCAAACTAAATGCTGCCACTGTCTGGGGAACTCCTTTACACAGGAGGGTTAACAAGTTGGCCACAATCAAGTGCTGAAGAATCCAGTCTGTGTGCCTTACCCTGCACCCAGTGAAGTAAAGGACCAGGTAATTGAGGAGAAGAGAGGAATTGCCCAGAGCTCCAAACACAGTCTGTGCCAGGAAGATGATGCCTACAGCCACATCACTGGCTGCCATCCTGCCAGTTCCTTGCTGTCCCTTCCAGAGGGTCCTGCAGGTAAAGAGGAGGCCTGGGCTGCATGTGTCTTCTCAAGCAAAATCCAGTATTGCCCACTCTCCAGAACCCAAAGTAAATGTGAAAATTTACTTTGAGTTCTTTATTCTATCAGGTGTTAATGAATTTTGTTCAAACAGTTAAAAGCATAAATTGTGCATGAATTCCTGGTATGAAGGCCATACATTGTGACTTCTTGAATCTTCACAATATGAGGCAGGCACTGAGAGCTTTGCATAACAACCAGGAGCAGAGGAATTGCAGAGGTCCAGTGTCTGTTGAATTGTACAGTCTGAATAGGAACAAAGTGCTCTTGAACCTGGCTGAGCAGTAACAGAGACTCCACAGTGAACCACCAAGGATTCCTAGGCTCTTGAGTGAGATTCTTTAAATAATTCCACTGTATATTTAGTTTTGTCTTTTAAAATTCCTATTATCTTCTAAATGCTGGTATTTTAAGTTTTCACTGTAACATGTTTCCATTTTTTGGAAAGAATTATTCTATAAATCAATATCAGTTATGAAGGAACACTGAGACATTTTATTAATGCAGATGCACCATGGGACAGGTGCCTGCTCTATTATATTTCTTTAGTGCATCTGCATTAATAAAATATGAAAAGGTTTACCATATATCTTTGCACACTCCACAATAAAATTTCTACACAAGATTGTGTACTTGATACAACAAAAGAATATTTTCCAACAGGTGAAAACAAGATGATATATGAATAACAGGTGGATGTTGGAAATCCATAATCCTTTTGTTGACCTATACTCATAAATTCCTTAGCACTTCAAGAGGAAAATAACCTCATCAAAATCTCAAATCACGTGGTTTTAGGATTGGTACAAAGGCCATTTTCATCTGTTTCCTCATGCCCAGAATTAGAGAAAACTTTCTGCTCAAGAAGTTACCTTAAGATCACTTTCTACACAGGAAAAGAGGATATCTGTAAATTTGTCTTACTCTATATAACAAACATGTAGAGATTACAGGTACTCCTCTAGAAATCATGAAGATTCAGTGTAGAACTCCTGTAAAGGAGAGGAAGCACCTGACTCGCTTTAAAACCACCTCCACATGCACTTTAACAAACCAGTAGAGTCTAGTTCAGCAGCGACCATCAGTGAGGATTACTTTTGTTGAACTAGGAGCCATAAGGGATTGGTGCAGGACCAGCCCATTGCTCTTCACTGCCTGGGCCCACTCCTCAGGAATTTCTCAGCTTCCTCTGTGTGACTTTCACACTCAACCAGGTTCCATCCACAACCCTTTTTTCTGATGTGAACACTTACCCACACTCTAGAAATGGGTCTTCCCTCCTCACAGAGGCTCCACTCAGACTGACCTGCCTCACTCAGCAGGTTCTTTCTCTTCACCAGGATGTGTTCTCAGTGCAGGGGCTTCTGTGACCAGGACATGTGCTGCTGGGATGCGGACAGCTCCTGAGATATAGGTCTGTGATGCTGTGACCTCAAATCCCCTCGGACCAGTAATTATCACTGTGCCTGTAGCAGCAATGGGTGTGCAGAGGACAGCAAATGTTCTCCCCTGGTGACACTTACAAAAAACAATTATAAGTTTCTTGCTAGAACCTCTTAAGGGGATTCTGGAGTGTTTGGAGAGGCTCCTAATTATTCATGATCTTTGGAAGAAGATCCTCACCAACAGAGGGGTCAGTAAGTTCTGTGGTCAACATGTGAAAGACTGGCAGTGAGCTATGCCATCCTATGGCATTCCTTGATTCTCAAATCCTGTTTCCTCCTATTCGTCATTTCCCTGAGTGGAATCCTCCTTTAAGCTCTTAGTAAAGAAATGGAAAGATGAAATAACCAAGGAGAATTTCAAAAGAGACACAAGTAAAAGGAAAATGTGATACCAACCATTCAACTGGAAATTCAGTGGACTCATCTGGTAAACATGAGTCAACCAATCTATACTTGCTTGTAAAATTCAATTGTAATTAATATCAAAAATGTATAGGGAAATATACTGTATCTACATTGATCCTATTAGTGACAGGATGGAGAAAAAATATTCATACAAGAAATGGAGAATGCTGTACAAGGTTTCTTATCAGTGTGGCATCAGATGGTTTGAGAGGCCAGATCTACCACCTCTGTAACTACTAGATTCACCCCTGCTACAAACATTAATTCCAGAGCACCAAGTGCTCACCACAAAAAAGTGAGCCCTTTCTATTGTTTCTAGATTCTCCAAATCTGCAATAATTTATTTCAATAAATAGATTCGAAAATTGCTGTGATCTTTCCCATTCAGGTCAAGACCTGTGGTAGTAGAGTGCAGTGGGTTGGGCAGTGAGTGCACAGGTGTGAGGAGGAGGCGTGAGAAAGAGGACACAGGGGCAGGGAATGGGGAGAAGATGATCCAGTGGTTCCTGGGAAGGTGAGGAACAGCAGGGGAGGTGAATGGGAGGGAAAAAGTGGTGAAATGCAGAAGGAGTTAGCACATGGCTGGGCTTAAGCACACAGGAGCAAAGTGCTACTGGGTGAGGACACAGAGCACATTTGACACTGCAGACATGGGGTGCATATATTTATTTTGGTTTAGATATGCGTTGCCCCATGGACGCTCATGTGTGAGGTATTACAAGAATATTCAGAGGTGGAATGGTTGGGTTTTGAGAGCCTTAACTTAATCAGTGTATTGATCCAGTAACAGGGACTAACTGGGTGGTAACTGTGTGCAGGCAGGGTGAGGAAGGCAGGGATGGTTTCTGGGGCGTGTCTTGGGGCTTTTATTTTTCTCTGGTGAGGAACAGTTTCAGTATCTCTCTCTCTCTCTCTCTCTCTCTCTCTCTCTCTCTCTCTCTCTCTCCTTTTTGATTTTTCTTACCTCTTTCCTCCTCTGCCGACTTACATCATGAAATGCTACCACATCTTGGCTGGGCTCCCCTCCCTCTGCTCCATCCCACTTGCTTCCTTAGGCCCCGCCCACCCTGCCTGCTGGGGTGGGGCTCCACTCCTTGCTCTGTGATAGATCCTTGCTCTGTGATAGAAAATTTGGACAGAAGCTGGGCATGCTGACCCTGACCGATAACCTTGGTGGCGGGGGGAGGTTAAGGCAGGAGGACCCCAAGTTCAAAGCCAGACCTCAGCACTGTAGGAAGGTAATGTTGCAGTGATGAGCAATCCAGAACAGAGAACATTGAAAATATAGAACTGAGGACATCCAACATGGCGGTGGGAGCGGAGAGATCAAGTCTCTGACCTCTTCAGCTGCGCGGCATAGGGAGTCGTAAACTGTCTAAATGCTGTTTGCTCAGGATCACTAGGCAATGCTGAGCTGATGTGAAACTGAGGAGAACAGTCTGGGCCCCACAGAACACACACCGAGCCCGGATCGGCTGCATTCAAGGTCCGGTTCGCCTGCTTCACGTGACTCAGCACTAACGATCCCGCTGAAATAACTGGTCGGCCTGTCTGAACTTACAGAGGTAAAAGCCAATCGAGCCTTCATAGGCAGTGGCCACAGGATTGAAACGGGGCTTGGGAGAGACAGTCAGGACCCACCCTTTGCATTGGTCACCCGGCAAAGGGAACGAACGGTCACAATTTGCATGGGATACCACCATGGCAGAGAACTGACGTCATGGGCGGAGGAGATAACTTCATTGAAACCAGCGCGACAGGTGTGTAATCCCCTAGCCATCTCTCTCCACACAACGGGGAAACCTTAAGGGCCCCTCCCAGCTCTCCTGTAAGGGCCCCTCCCAGCTCCCCATGAGCACGATAGCCAGACCGAGGGAATGAGGAGTGGTGCGGGACACGCAGCGCGGAACTCCCGGCTACCGCTCCCACCAGTGCTGACAACTGAGGTCTCTTGCACCAGATACCGGGGGCGTGGCTATCAGAGGGCAAGCAAATTCGCTGGGGGGTTCTCTGCCCCAAGCTCTACAAACTTAGGGTCTGAGGGAGGCAAACAGGGAGAGTGTGCCCAGGCATTCATGAAAACAGGGCTCCCAGGAGCAGAAGACCTGGCGTGTAGCCAGTATTGTGGTGAGTGTCAGAGGTGAGCGGGGCCTGGCTTGAGGAAACACAAGAGAAGGCCCTAGGCACTCAGGATTGGAGACCCGCCCAGTCTGGGAGGAAGAGCTGCTGCACAGTGATTGGTTCCCACCTATTGAGAGGAGTAGCTTGGCCCAGTGGGCACAGCTCCACCTACTGGAAGAGAAGTTAATTGAACTCTATGACTGCATTTATTATTATTATTATTATTATTTTTTAATTTGGTTTTTTTTTCTTTTTCTTTCATTTTCATTTTTTTTGTTGTTGTTCTTTAACTTTTTTAATGTTTTTATTTTTTAAATTTTTTATTTTATTATTATTATTTTTATTTTTAATTTTAATTTTCATTTTTTTATTATCATTATTATTTTTAATTTTTTTTTCTTTCTTTAATTTCTTTTTTTTTTTCTTTTGGCTTTTGATTTTCAATTTTCTTATTCCCCCTTCCTTAAATTCTACCTGCCTACTCTCATTCTCTTTAGTGACTTCTTCCCTTCCCTTCTAATATCTTTACTCCCAAGCATCAAATAAATTTATAAGAGTAAACAGTAACTCAGCAGTCAAACAGAACAAGAAGTAACATGAGCAGCATAAAAAAGCAAGGAAGAAAAGGAGTACAAACAATGAAGGACAGCCTAAATATTCAGGAGGACCTAGAGTCAGTAGAAAAATGGTCATATAAAGAACTCAAGGAATACCTTAGACAGATGGAATGGAACCTTAAAGAGGATACGAGACAGCAAATCCAAATAGTGAAAGAACACATTGAAAATGAACTACATAAACAGATAAAAGAAGAAATTAAGTGTCTTTATCAGGAGATAGAAATTAAAAAAAAAAAATCAAACAATAATTCTAGAAATGAAGGAAACTATAAACCAAATTAAAAACTCAAATGAGAGTATCATTAACACAGTGGAGCAAGTAGAAG